TGCCCTGCAGAGTCCTATAGAGAGGCAGCCAGTCTCTGGTTATTAAAGAAAGAGGTTTACTGCCCAAGAGCAATGAGAGAGGATTGTTGTTCTAAATAATGAAAGTCATAAAGCATTACCACGTGAAGGGATGCTCTCTGCAGCCAGAATTGGGGACGTCAAGTATTACCCGGCTGTGACAGCACAGCTCATCGAACCAGGACCAGACTTTGTGGACACGGAGACACAAGCCAGGAGGGACAATCCATCCTCTCCTCATCAAACTCTGGGGCTGGATTTTGAGCAACGGAGGCGGCACCACGCTGCTCTAGAATGACTAGAGGGACCGCCCGGGAGTCCAGGCTCGATGTTCTTTCAAGAGCAAAGATGCTCAGCCAAGGCTACAAGGAAGGAAAAGATGTAGGGCCTGTCTATGCAGAATTACCCTGGAACAGGTCTTGTGTGTTTAAAGTCATCGCTCTTATTCCGGGATTGCTTTGTCATGAAGACAAGTCCTCAAAGGGGCAACCCCATGGGGTTTTCGTTTCAGAACCTCACCTGCTGGAAACCACCCAGTGTGGTTTTACGATGAAAATGTTCAAGACATTTTTTGAGACACAGAAACAAACAGGGAACCTGGCTGGGTAGCTGCAGACGGATGAAGCAGACACAAAATGTAACGCTGAAACACGGGGAGGGGAATAATAATAAAAAAAAGAGCCATTCTTAAAGCTCCTGCTGTTGCACTCCGAGAGCAGAAGCAGACTGGGGAATTCTGAAGAAAGTCCAGGCACTAAGCTGAAGACATCCCACTAACACCAGCTGCAGAGTCGGCCTTTGCGACGCGCAAGCCTCCCCGTTGTCAGAGGGATCTCATCTCCTAAATTACAGGTTTGACTCTGAGACACGTCTGCTCATCAAGAAACATTCTCCGCACTTGGCTTTTCAAGGGCTGACAGTTTTTTTCCCTGACCAGCTGGGAAGAGGGTCTTTAGGGCAGTCCTCACCCCTCCACCAGCACCCGCCCGCTGCAGGGGGTCCCACCCGCACATGCGCAGCGGAACAGACCGCGAGATCCACGTGCAGCGTAGACAGAATTTAAATCTGTCTCCAGCCTGGGGATTAAGTTTTGTTATGACTGAGAACAAAGTGGACAACTCCACCAAACTGATCTGCAACATCAGGTGGGAGGAAGGATTTTCGCCGCTGCGGATGGGGAGTCAATTCCCCGCCAGTGTCACCGGGAGCAGCAGCACCAGGCACGGGCAGCTCTGCAGG